ATACTTGTTATGGCCCATAGTACCAGAATCGCGATGTGCCCATGGAGTAAAAATAATTGACCCACCCTAATGCATATGCATATTCGAAATTTTTATTAAAGACCCATACCATAGGTATATATATAATTTTTTTTTATTTGTAAGATTGGTATATTTTGTAACCAAAACTTCTCCAATGTAAATATTAATTTTAAATTTCTTTTGGAAAATAGATGTACATTACGAAAATTCAACGCTTGAGATAGAGTTTTTCGTGACAGTAAATTTTGAATTATAATCGATGATTTCAGATGTATTAACTCTCATGTTGTTCAAAGATTTATATTTTTCTATGTGAAATGAACAATTCGAAAATGAACAATTTGTCGTCAATACAACATTTAGTATAACTAGAGGAGTTTTATATTATAGCAATTTCTAAAATTATATCTTCGATTTTTGTATTTATTGCTCACTATTCTGTCGTATATATTATATATTAATGCAATAGAATATGTTATCCTTAAGATACGCATTAGAAAGTAAAACAAAGATTTTTTGTAATTTATTGAAATTATTAACTATCGAACAGAACAACTAAATGAAATGAAAATTAATCTAAAAACCAAAACTCTCAACTACCGAAATAAAATATCAACTGCCGGTGCTCCACACTCTGATATTCATGTCTTGTGTACTGTTTGTATAATTCCATTTGAACAATCTGTAAAAATTAGATACGGCACTCAGCGTACATGATAAGTACTTTATCTGATTTGCTTTTTATTCATAAATACCAGCGGAATCAATGAATTCGTATAAATCGATTGGTGCAGTCCATACCAAAACGTTAACCACATCGTATTTCATACTTTTTTGGTTGTGAGAGAATTCGAAATTGAAAAGTATAAAGACAAAGATAGTTTTCTAACGTGAAAAGTTTTATTGTAATTTTCATCATTTTCAATCCACTTAAAATGTTAAAAATAACGCGTTGCGCATCAACGATTTATCGTTTCACTGGACAAATCTTACGTGAAAAGAGCTCATATCAAATTTCGTCGGTTGGTGTGAAAACGATCGAACAGCCAAAAAGGTATCCATTCAAAGTGGAATTCTTCATCAATCATGATCTTCAATTCTAATATTTTGCTTTTTTTTGTTTTTGAATTTCTATAGTTTGCCACAAAACTACAATGAACCGTTCTCATACGATTTGTCAGCTGAACTACGTCGAGAAAATGCACAATTTATGCTTGTATTTCCAGGTAACTTGTGTCTTTTCTCTATTCGCTCGAAGAAGTTTCGCAAATTTTGAATATTTTCGAACTTCAAAACATCAATTATTTTTTATTTCAGATGTAATTCACCATTTGACGAAGTTTACTTCAAGTCAGTACGAATTGAGAGATGCTTCCAAACATTTTGCTAAGGTATAAATCAATCGTTTCTTCAGAATAATTTAAATTTTTCAATTATCCAAATAATTTTATGAATTGTTTTTCAATCACATACAAAATAAACTACGTTAGGCATTGGAGTATAATGTACCCCATGGCAAAAAGATCCGAGGCTTAACAGCTGTCATTGTATACAAAGATTTATTTGGAAAACATGGACTTACACCAAAACATATTCAGCAAGCTCACATTCTTGGCTGGTGTATCGAACTTGTAAGTAAAAGTCGATTTATTTTTTACGTAACATTTTATTGAATCATTTCAACTAACGCAAAATGGAAATTGTTCTATAAAAATTTGATTACTTCGTCTAATTTCAATTCAAACAGTATGTTAATGAATTAACATCATGTCAAAATATATGTGCATTACTTTTTACCAAGAGTACCTTCGGTCCTGCTCCTCATAAAAAAAATTTGGTTTTGAGAAAAATAGACGTGTATTTTATCGAAAAGACAAAGGTGAATAGATGAATATCTTCGTAATAATTTGTTCTTAATACGTAATTTCATTTTATTACAATCGTTACGATTATATATATTGAAAGTGTAGTAAAAAAAATTGCATCATAGTTTTTGTTTCACATTTTCTCCTACGTTTGTGTTCACTTTCGCAATATATTGCTCACTTTCTCGCACGATAAGATTGGCGGAAAGATTGTAATTGGGAGTGAATTAATTACTCCCTTTGATTTCTCGATTCGAAAATTTTGATAATCCACTTCAAACGATGCCGACAAAATGCAGCGAACATGTTAAAAAACTGAATTTTCGCGATGAGATATGTATTTCTTTTGTTTCAGACAAGTAAATAAATACACAATCGTCGAAAACAAAATTACGTGTACAATGTACACATGTACATGTCATTCCAGTAATTTGATGTAAACCATGAATAAAAATCGATTCTTTAATGGTAAACAAGCGTATTTAAACCTTGAACTTGAAAGACTCGATGTGATTGTTATTTCGTTACTATTTTATCAATTGCAACGCTAAATCTCGGTTAAACCCATTTGAGGAGATCTAATCGCGAATTATTTTGAGGTTGTTCACACTTGAAATTGGCAGTCAGTTTATGCTATGAATCACAGTTAGACAAATAGAACAATTAGTCTCGCAATTATCATACCTCAAATAGATATAATATTTGTATGTGTTTTTGTTTTCGATGTCGGGTAGCTTCAATCTGTATTTTTGATGTCGGACGATATGATTGACTGCAGTCAAATACGACGTAATAAACCGTGTTGGTATATGTTGGACGATGTGAAATCAGTTGCGGTTAATGACGTTTTTATGATTGAAAATGGATGTTATTTGCTGTTGAGAAAATTCTTCGGCCATTTACCATGCTACCAGAGCTTGTTTGAACTGCTACACGAAACCGCAATGAATACATTCATTGGACAATCGCTTGATTATCAAATTGGCAACGGGAATATTGAACAATTTTCCATTGAAAAGCATATTTCCATATCGAATTATAAGACAGGGCATTTTGCATTTTATACACCGATCGCATTGCCCATGCTATTGGCCGGGTAAGATAAACATCCAATGAAATCGAGCGCAGTTTTATACGAGATTCTGTTTTTTTTTTATAGTTATAAAAATGCAAAAATGTTCGAAGACATCAAGACTATATGCTATGAATTGGGCCATTTTTATCAAGTTCAAAATGATTTTTTGGACTGCTTCAGCGATACGGATGTACTGAAAAAACCCGGCACAGATATTGAGGATGGAAAATGTACATGGCTTGCTGTTTCAGCAATGGAACATGCATTAAATGAACAAAAAGACATTCTCATCAAATGTTATGGACAAAATGGTAATACATTTATTTTTCTAGTGTGAATATAACTCATTTTTACATTGAAAAGAAACTTCGAAAAAACAATTAAATCGATTTGAAAGATTCTCCAGCCAATTTAATCATTTCTCTTTTTCACTTTGACAGATCCAGAGAGTGTGAATCAAGTCAAGCAAATATATAGTGATTTAGATCTACCCCAATTGTATAGTCAATACGAAGAGAAAACCTACAACAAAATCAAATGTCAAATTGTAGAATTTTCACAACAACATGATTTACCGCCAAACATTTTACTAAAAACATTGAACAGAACTTTTAATCGAACATGAATTTCATCTATCTTTTAACAAAGATCTAAACAAGTTGCATATGTTAACATTTCTATCTCTCTATCTACTTCTCTATCTCCATATCCAGATAGACGCCAAATAAAGCGTCCATTTTAATAATTAGTGTATTCACATTTTAATCTGGAGGAGTATTAATATTCACAAAAACAAATCTTATAATTGGTGACATCACTGATATACTATAATTTAAATATTTTTTGCTCAAATGCAATTCGTTTCAAATATATACAAAAGTAGTTAAATCTATTTAATAAAGGTGGTAATAAATAGTTCAATGTGAAACTAAAATTTTGCAAAAAAAAAAACAAATTGTAGTTTCTTGCAAAACGGTTAATTCAAATGTTGAAGGTCTAAAAGAACAATTTTTGGAAGGCCAATTGAAAGTCATTCTTTTTGCGTTTGACTCACTCTTTTGCTGTTCGCATTGCAGAAAAAATAAAATTTTATTTTGATGTTTTTCTCTCAACCGCCAAACTCTACTCCTAATATATTTCAGTCAGCTGATGAATACATGAGAAAATATCTCAGTATAATATGTGTTGTGAAGAGCCCAGCAACAGTGCAGATATTTTGGCTATCTAATAATATATGACCTTGAAATGGACTTTATCCACACCATAAAAATGCGCGTTTCAAATATTCTCAATTGCAAAAACCGGTTTTCAACTCTCTGTAGTAAATATTTTTAAGGCTTAAAAGAAGATGACATTTGTTCTTTTTTATCATTGGCAGTATGAAAACGGTGACAAATAGATCTCAACGAAGCAAAATGTTCATTGTGAATTTTGTGCTGTGTTTAATAATATTGTGTGGTTTGGGTGCAAATGCTGATTGCACCGAAAAGACATCAACGACAACGACAGGAAAAACGGTTCCGACTACGAGTTTTACCGAAGATTCGACGGATGAGTTTCCAGTGCTGGGCGGTTTATCCGATTTAAATGATGACGAAATCAAAGAATTGCACCCAAAGCTTGATCATTCCCTCACCAAATTGCGCAAACAGAATACCGGGTTCAATTTCACTTTGAAGCGTATTTTGAAGGGGCAATCTCAGGTTGTAGCCGGCATGCGTTACATTATCAATTTTGAAATTGTAAACGAAAAGGAACAAACCAATACATGTGAAGGTGAAATTATTGAAAGATTATGGGAAAATTTCTTTAAAGTTGATTTTGAATGCGAGCAGAAGAAATATTCTATTTAGAAAACTATTTTACCAGAAGATGAGAAGAAAACGAACAACTGAAATTTTTTTGTAATAAATATAATAAAATGATTGAATTATTTACATATGAAAGATGATTTTTTTTTATTTATACAGATTTAGAATGCCAGAGAATGAATTTAAGGTTTTACAAATTTTGCTTTTTCAAAATTGATTGAAGTGTTTTATATGTAATGTACTTTAATATTTGCTTGCCAAGTCTCACATTCATTCACAAAGTTTCATTGATTTCCACAGTGAATTTTTCTGATTTCATCATTTGACTAAATTGTATTTATACAATGCCTGCTGTTTATAAAACTCGCTAAACGATAAGTTAAACGAAAAAAACAAGACAAATTCATCGAGTCGGCATTGAATGCCACATATACGATTGACATCGCACTCAAACAAATTCACCCGTGCTCAAAACATTCAACACATTCAAACACGAACAATGAATATGAATAAGACGAAGAAAGCAAAATGTAGCTTATTGGTGTCTTATTCGAATGCGTTATTTTTATGAATTGTGTTTTGTTGTTTCTCCCATTTGAAATCGTGTTATGCTGAAACGGTAGATTTCCGAACTGTCAAATATCGTGCGTTGATTGTAACATGTTAAACCGAACCGGCTGAATTGTTTCTCGGAATGGCATCGTAAACGGAGCGAAGTAACAATAACAAACAAACCGAAACCTGAGTTCTATTGCAAATGCAAAATCGAATAAGTAAGTGAGACAAAGAAAGAAAATATTCCCTTTGATTTGTCAATGCACACTTAGATGACATTTTGGAAATATAGTTCGTATCGATGGTTTTGAAAGCGACAGAGAAAGATAGAATCTTTGGCGAAACAAAAAAAAAAACAACAACCAACATTTGATTTCATCATTTTGCGACATTAGTTTGGTTTTGATTCTGAATGCGTGTGATTGTCAGCATAAAATTCGAAAGAGTCGCATAGAGTTTGTTGAATATGGTGTTTTTGGGAAAAGTACCCGATTATTCGGACGTAAGCCGTTGTGTTGAACATAAAATAATCAATTCATGCAATGGGTAATTGTTTGAAAAAAAAATCATTAAATAATTGTTGTCATCGTTTGCAGATGAGTTCGATGTCATCGATGGTGTCCAGTTCCGATGACGACGAGTACACAGAATGTGAAATTGAATTAATGTACAGCCCATTGCAATTGCCGTGGAATGAAAATTACTGGAATATCTGCGTCACTCACGTTGTTGCGCCAAATGAAGGTTTGTAATCGATATGAAAATTCGATTGCTTAGCACATTTTAATTATTTATTTTCATGTTGGGCAATTGGTCGTCTTTTAGTGTGGGCCACTTTGACAGCAAATGCGGTAAATAAATTGATTAATTTTTAATGAAATTCGTTAGACTAAATCAAAACATTGTCTATTGCAAATAGAATATGTTGAGCCGAGTGGAGCGATTTACATCGGCGTCAACGTTGAAAATGGCAAAAGTCATCGTCATCGATGAAATCTATTTGGTGAAAAATGATGATGGCATTCATCGTGTGCGAGCGGTTAAAAATTTTTGGATATCGAATCGTTGTTTCTGTGACTGCTTCTACATTGACATCGGTAAATTTGAGGCGATTGAATGCAATCAATTGTACTACTGTACGGGTGAATATCGAAATGTTGCACCGCAAGCAATTTGTTTCAAACTATTTGGTTTCGATGAATTGTACAATTGTCCGCACATCGAACGCTGTTTCCGTGCTTGGCTTCTGCATAAACAATTCGTTGGATGTTTGATGATGGCCGAACCACAGTATCAAGTACAATTGAATCATGGCATTAAAATGCCAAAAATTTCCATCACATTGTTTCAATTCTACCCGAAGTTTACACTATTCAAACCGATTCTACTGAAGCAAATCGGTGCATCGTTGCCTCGACCGTCTTTTTCGACACATGAAATTACCAGCGCCAAGGTATCACATGTATCCCGGACCGGTATTGTTTACTTCAATTTGGATGAACGAAACATCGACTACGTCAATACGCTGATTGAACAGTTTGTCAATGAAAATCGACATCTCATGCATCGCATACACCGTCTGCGACAATCGGAAATGGCCAATTGTGTTGTATTAATTTATGACATCGAACGAAACATGTATCATCGCGCTAAGATTATGGATGCCATTGAAAAGCGTAACACATCGATCAAATACAAGTGCCATTGCATCGATACGGGCGACATCAAATTGGTGACAGCAGCAAACATTTTTGTGCTTAACGACACATCTATTTTGAACTATTATCCAGCACAAAGGTACAACACATATGAAAAATTACAATAAACTTTATTGGTATATAAATTGTAAAACAATGCATTCCTTTGTTTTTTTTTTCTTTGAAAGTATTGGAGCCCGTTTACATTCGTTGCCCACATTCGAGGACAACGTTCACAAACGACTCAGCGACATTCTGACCCACAATGATGTTAAGATACAGGTTAAATCCAACGATCAATCAAACACATTGCCAACCGTTACCATCTACAAGGATTCGATAAACATCAACAAATTCATTCACATGGAACTCGAACTTTACCGGTAAATTTGCTTCCTTTTTTATTCGGGCGATTTTTTCTTACGTGTAAATATAACTGTTTCTTTTTGTTTGTTTTTCGTTCCCAGAGATGCAATGAATGCAGCATACCCCGATTCAATCTTTTGAAACCAACCATCTGTGACAATGACCAATTCTCAGCATAGCTGATGACTTTTTTTTTATTTTTGATTTCCAAATCTATGGAAATTAATGTTTTTTTTAGTTTTAAATGCAAGTATTTCAGTAAAGATTTGCACGATCGCATTTTGATAATGCCTTTTTAGAATTAAGTCACATAATGAGTGTTATGCATGCACATTCAGTTTTCTTTGAAACAAGCATTACTCATCGAATTTTGATGCCGTCAAGATATGATTAAATCAATTTTAAAAAAATCGATTCGTAAATGCATAAAAAGTGCGGGAAACATAAGTTAAGACATTAATGACACATTAGGTCACATTTTATAAAGATTTTCTGATTCGCATAATACGTATAAATGGACATACGTTAAATTTTAGTTATTGTAAGCGGACTATTGAAATTGTTTCAATCAGAAATATCTCATCTCGCTGAGCGGCTACTTGTATGAGAATGAAAGAGAAATAAATAAATGATGCAAAATCAAAACAGTTTACTTTTTTCATTCTCATACATTTCAAAGTTACATCAAGGATTATTTTAACTTACACCGGAATAAAACATCGAAAAAAAAATCACAAACACATTTTTGCTTCAACATTTTTACAATTTGACATTGATTGAAACATAATAGAAATAAACAAAGAAAAATGACATGTATTTTTGACATTTTATTTTCGACAGGTCTCTCTTTATAAAATACGGTTAATGAGCTGAAGAATTTTAATATTGATTCACGATTTTGATAGATTGACATCATGATTTTCACACCGTAAAACTATCTTATTAGCTATAAATCGATATAACAAATCATTGATATTTCAAAAAAATGTGCTAGAATAGGGATTTTTATCACATGGCTTCATTTTGTTATCGAGCGCAATGTATTTTTATTAGAGCTTTAAAACTTTTACTAACGAAAGTACCAAAAAGAGCATTTTTTTATTTGAGAAACTTTGCAATTCTAATTGCACACCGTGACCCAGAAAAGTGAAAAATTAGGAAAAGGAAATGAGGCCAAAATAGCTTTCGCTCACTTGATGCGGAGATTGAAATTTACCACGGATTTGAAGTTTGAAGATATTTGTGTTTACGTCCATCTTGTAAATGAGGTAATCAATGAAAAACCACTTCGAATGGAAGAACGAAACTTTTAATAACATTATGATTGTCATGTAACTTTAGATTGATGATTCTAATAAATTTCGTTTTTTTTTGAAAATGGTCTTTTATTCCAAGAATTTATTCCTTCAACAGTTTTTTGTAGTGAGTTATTCTTATCAGGGCGTAAAACAAGCGTGATTGGATCGGTTAGTTTCCATTTTCTTCGAAGAGTTATTGGTAGTTTTCATGATGGCCCCATTAATGGCAACAGACTTTTTTCAAAGCATTATCAACATCTGTTTTCCCCTCAAATTTGCTGAAAATGAACTGAAAATATTTTAGTAGCACTCAGAGCTGGGCACTCATCACACATCAATATTCGACTGTGATCGGTCGTTCGGTTGTTCGGAGAAAAAAAAATATATTTGCTCGAGATTTGGAGGTAAATTTTAAAACGTTTGAAATTCAATAAATTCTACACCTCGCAAAACCCTCCTACTGTGTTTCTTATGTAAGTAGGCTAGTTTTACTTTTACCTTTTGCGCTGTCTCTTTATATATTTGGTTTTTGCTCGCATAAAATTTGTATTAGTGTTATTTGCAGCATGTTCTGTATGTTATTGTTTTCTTCTAAGGCCGTAATTTTTCAACATTATCCAATCGGCTGACCAGAGTTGAACTTTTTTTCATAATATTTGAACGAAATGCGAAATATTTTATTGACTGACACAAAATAAAACACAACCAATAAATTTTAAAGATTGAATGGTTTATTTTTTGACTTTACATTTGCGAAAGACTATGCTATTATTGATTTATTATTAAAAAATAGCGTCTCTGAAAGAAAATAACACATTTCTATTTAGATTTTGTGTATTTTTAACGAAAAAAAATGCGATAGACTTTTGGGATATCAAAATCCAGGTCCGTTGCTTGAAATTCCATTCGATTTTAAATTGTGCACGACCCAGCACATTTCCAGTAAGCAGCACAATCGTATATATTGTTACATGTTACGTAGTTATAATCTTGTGAATTTCCTCTGGTTGTGTAACACCATTCTTTATTGTCCATTGCAAATAAAGCCAGACCACCTGTACAACGGGTCCAACAGTATCCCTTGTAGCAACCGAAAAAATCATTGGATTGAGGGTCTTCTGCTTTAGCATCTACTGCCAAGAGCACAATCAAAGCGAAAATTACGACTGCTGACTTCATTTTGAACCAATTGAGTTTATGAATTACACTGATGATTTGTGAAATGGTCACATTGATATTTATACTGAATTTTTCTATCAATTTTCTTCCGAACAATTCTTGATGTTATTATCTTTATATATCGTAAAATCTGGCTTAAGTACTTTCATGCAAATATGATAAAATTGCACGTTTCCAGTTTTGCTTGATGTATCATCAAGCTTTAAAATCTTTTTTGGTTTGTTTGTGGCTCGCATAACCCATGAAAGGTATCAGCTATCCTATCTTGAAACCAATTTTTCGGATTCCTGAGTTTCTGTTTTGAAAATTCATCGAGGAAATTTTGTTTTAGTAATGATCTTTTCCCTAAGAAATTTCCATGATTTGTACATTGTAACCTGAGTTCAAATCCTACGATTTTAATTTTAATTTCACAGTTTGTAGCTTTTAAGATGCCTTTCCGAAAAAAACGTAACCACAATGTTCGAGTGACTTTGTGACAAGTAGTTGCAGCACGGCAAACTACCATATTTCCGAGTATTTTTATGAATCTTCAAGCAAATGTTGTTGTAACACGAATTCCAATTCTAACCATAAGATTTTAATAAATCGATACATCAAGTGACATCAAGCATTACTTCCAAGTATATTGGCAGCGAATTTTGATAAAATTCATCTGAGTCAACAAAATTAAAAAAAAAAACAACATAATAAAAAAGTGTTAATCCAAAAAAGTCAGATAAACTGATAAAATTTAACTTAAAGATTATAAACTTTTTTATGACAAACATGTGTTGCGATAGAAACAATAAGGAAATGTTTCTTTTTGAATTAAGTTCACGTGGTAGCTTTGTTTGTGATAACAAAATATGCCGCAACATTTTTCCCCCAAAAGTGTAATCTGTAATGCACTTTACCTCGTTACATATATTCAATGCATGCCTAATGTGGAAAAATGAAAAACCGTCATAAAATTTCAGAAAATTGTCATAAAATTTCAGAAAAACGTCATAAATTTTGTGAAATTCGTCATAAAAATGACTAAAATCGTAATAAAATTAGATGAAAATCGTCATAAATTTTCAGAAAATCGTCATAAAATTTCAGAAAATCCGAATAAAAATTAATTGAAAATCGGAATAAAATTTCCTAAAATCGGAATAAAATTTCAGGAAAACGTCATAAAATTTGCGAAAATCAGTATAAAAAATATCCTGCCTGAAATTAATTGCATGTAACGCTTGATCGTCATCCAAGAGAGTGTTCCCAAAATTTTCCAAAAAATGTAGCGGAGTAATTTGGTCTCTCAAAAATAAATTGATTTGAATTGAATTCGCTAAAAAAATCCTAGCAAATCGAAAGAATTACGCTCATTGAAAACCCAATCTAACAAAAATCTTTTTACTATTTTTATTCCAAAATAAAAAAAATCGCAGAACATTTATTTCTTATTTGCTTTGTTAACGGAAAAGCATGTAAGCTATATAATTATATAGTAATTCAAAACAATGGGCACAAAACTCCTTTTTCACTGATGGTTCAGTCAGAGAAACAGGTAGTGGATGCGGCTTCTACTGTGAAGCAGAGAACCTCAACTATTCATTTCCCCTGGGACAAACAACAACAGTCAAACAGGCGGAAATATCTGGAATTATTCATTGTGCATACAAAATACTGGGGGACCCAGTACGGGGAAATATAGCTATCTTCACAGATAGTTTGGGAGCCATAACTGATCTTAAGAATATTAAGATGCAAAATGGCTTGGCTATGAACTGTTACGAGGCACTCCAGCGCATTTCTGAAACGAACAACCTTAGGGTGGTTTGGATCAAATCTCATACTGGTATTCGGGGGCATGACCTGGCAGACGGGGCGGCAAAATTGGCTGCACACGATGCAATAGAGGGTCCAGAACCATACATACCAATTGAATATTCACGAGTCAAGAACCGATAAGCTACTTGGCTCAGCAACAGATCCCGCCTAAATTGGCAGGGTACGTTCTCATGTGAGCAAACGAAACACTTCGTTCAATTCACATGTTGCCCAAGGAAGAACTCCGGATGGTAATTGGTTTACTTACCGGGCACGCCAGGGTCAATTCTCATATGAGAAATCTAAATCTCAGAGACGACCCGGACTGTAGACTGTGTGGTGGAGAAGGGGAAACCACTGCCCACCTCATAGATAGATGTCCAATGTTGGATACCATACGGGCTGACTTCACGGGCTGGAGATCCTACCCTTTGATTCATGCACCGAGTGTATTCAAATTGGTAACGTTTTTCAAACGGGCATGCGATGACAATCCATGCCTTAGAAACATTTTTGGATAAAAGACTATTCTCGTGTATTCAATACACACACGGGCGTCTTGCAATAAGTTATGAAACTTGAGCAACGAGTAACTATATTAAAATTTACTGTTTAAATAGGACACTTCCCGTTTTAATCCAATAATCCAATAATCCAATACAAATCCACAGAGAGAGAGAAAGAGAGAGAGAGAGAGAGAGAGAGAGAGACTCAAACATTGATTGGGTAAAAATTGACCTGTTTCTCCTGTCATATCTTTCATAATAAAAAACGAATTTTGCCGTGGTAAACATTTTTTATCAATTGTAAGTTTATCTTTTTTTTTAAATTAATGCTAATTTCTGATCGAAAAATTCCAAAAAAAATAAGATTAAATTCACATTTAAATAATTTCACATTCATTGAAATTGATTTCCAATGAATATTCAACAGTTTCTTTTTCCATTTATTTTCAAATTCATTTTCCAAGTGAAATCCATTTGATTTAAATGACAAACAATCACCAGACGAAAGTTTGAAGAAGAAACGCCTTCAAACATCACCGTAATAATCTACGATGACTGTGTCGAGGTTATTTCACTAACTGAACATTTCCTCAAGTTAAATTAATAAATAAATGACTCAATAAAAAAGAGAAATATATTCTTTTTTATGTATAAGTTATTTCAGCCGAAACAATGTTAAAATGACATTCCAACCTTTTACAAATGCTTGAATTCCATAAATAGGTAGAAATAGAAACCGTTTGTCCGATTGCAAGAAACAAAAAAAAACTATACAGCAACATTGCAAAGTTGATTCATTTCAAATACATTCGTGTATTATTCGTGTGTTTAAAAGGTAATAGAATGCCGCACATGTTCTACCAATGGAAATTTATATTTTTTTTAATGAAAACCATTTTTCAACATTACGAGGGTCACTATTTAAGTTTTTTCAAAAACATATATAAGACAATGGGGTTTCATCGAAAATGGTTTTATTGTTTTTCAAAATATTCGCCATGATGATCAATACACTTTTGCATTCGCTCGAACCATTTGTCATAGCATTCATGCCACTCCGAAAGTGATATCTCCAAAACGTGTGTTTTGAACGCATCAACTGCTTCTTCGGGCGATGAAAATCGTTGACCACGCAGTTTATTCTTCACGCTCGGGAATAAAAAGAAATCGTTGGGTGCCAAATCAGGACTGGACGGCGGATGACCCATTAATTCGATCTTTTGACCGGTCAAATAATCGACTGTTTGATGAGATGTGTGAGAGCTCGCATTATCATGATGAAGAATTATTTTGCGACGGCGGTTGTTTTTTCTTATTTCATCAAACACTTCGGGCAAACAAATGGTGGTGTACCAATCAGAATTGACGGTCTTACGAGCCTCTAGTGGAACTGTTGCCACATGACCACTTATCGCGAAAAAACAGGCGACCATTTGCTTCGCAACACTTCGAGCTCGAACAACTTTTGTTGGGTTATCTTCACTTTGAAAGACCCATACAGTCGACTGCTGTTTAGTTTCGGGCTCATACGCGTAGATCCATGATTCGTCACCAGTGACGATAAAATACACGGATTTTGAAACACCACGATTGAATTTCTTGAGCATTTGTTTACACCAATCGACACGAGCCTTTTTTTGAGCGATTGTCAAATTATGTGGTATCCAACGAGAGCAAATCTTTCTGACAGCTAAATGTTCATGTAAAATCTTAAATACGCTGGTCGCACTAATGCCCAGGGATGCCTCAATCTCGTGATATGTTACATGACGATCTTCCATTATCATATTTCTGACAGCATCGATGTTTTCTGGTACAACAACTGATTTTGGACGACCTTCGCGGAACTCGTCGATGAGCGATAGGCGACCGCGCTTGAATTCGTTGTACCAATTATAAATTGTCCGAAGACTTGGTACTTCATCGCCAAAGGCCAAATGAAGTTGATCAAAACACTGTTGTTGTGATACACCCAATCGAAAGTGGAAAAAAATAATCGCTCGAAAATTTTCACGAGTAAAATTCATTTTTTGGCTGAGACGCAATTTACATGTTACGGTAAACAATACAAATAACGATCGAATGACAAAACGTTCTGAGAACGTTTATGCTACAAAATGTTAAACTTAACGAATATGACAATGGTTTGCATCGGGCAATACTAAAACATACATATTGAAGAAACTTAAATAGTCGCCTACGTATCCAATCGGCTGACCAGAGTTGAATTTTTTTTCATAATATTTGAACGAAATGCGAAATATTTTATTGACTGACACAAAATAAAACACAACCAATAGATTTTAAAAACTGAATAGTATATTTTTTGACTTTACATTTGCGAAAGACTATGCTATTATTGATTTATCAATTTAAAAAATAGCGTCTCTGAAAGAGAATAACACATTTCTGTTTAGATTTTGTATATTTTTAATGAAAAAAAAATGCGATAGACTTTTGGGATATCAAAATCCAGGTCCGTTGCTTGAAATTCCATTCGATTTTAAATTGTGCACGACCCAGCACATTTCCAGTAAGGAGCACAATCGTATATATTGTTACATGTTACGTAGTTATAATCTTGTGAAGATCCTCTGGTTGTGTAACACCATTCTTTATTGTCCTTTGCAAATAAAGCTAGACCACCTGTACAACGGGTCCAACAGTATCCCTTGTAGCAACCGAAAAAACCATCGGATTGGTCATCTGCTTTAGCATCTGCTGCCAAGAGCACAATCAAAGCGAAAATTACGACTGCTGACTTCATTTTGAACCAATTGAGTTTATGAATTACACTGATGATTTGTGAAATGGTCACAGTGATATTTATACTGAATTTTTCCATCAATTTTCTCCCGAACAATTCTTGATGTTATTATCTTTATATATCGTAAAATCTGGCTTAAGTACTTTCATGCAAATATGATAAAATTGCACGTTTCCAGTTTTGCTTGATGTATCATCAAGCTTTAAAATCTTTTTTGGTTTGTTTGTGGCTCGCATAACCCATGAAAGGTATCAGCTATCCTATCTTGAAACCAATTTTTCGGCTTCCTGAGTTTCTGTTTTGAAAATTCATCGAGGAAATTTTGTTTTAGTAATGATCTTTTCCCTAAGAAATTTCCATGATTTGTACATTGTAACCTGAGTTCAAATCCTACGATTTTAATTTTAATTTCACAGTTTGTAGCTTTTAAGATGCCTTTCCGAAAAAAACGTAACCACAATGTTCGAGTGACTTTGTGACAAGTAGTTGCAGTACGGCAAACTACCATATTTCCGAGTATTTTTATGAATCTTCAAGCAAATGTTGTTGTAACACGAATTCCAATTCTAACCATAAGATTTTAATAAATCGATACATCAAGTGACATCAAGCATTACTTCCAAGTATATTGGCAGCGAATTTTGATAAAATTCATCTGAGTCAACAAAATTAAAAAAAAAAAAACAACATAATAAAAAAGTGTTAATCCAAAAAAGTCAGATAAACTGATAAAATTTTACTTAAAGATGTGTACAAACATGTGTTGCGATAGAAACAATAAGGAAATGTTTCTTTTTGAATTAAGTTCACGTGGTAGCTTTGTTTTTGATAACAAAATATGCCGCAACATTTTTTCCCCAAAAGTGTAATCTTTAATGCACTTTACCTCGTTACATATATCCAATGCATGCCTAATGTTGTACACCTAATCGAAATGAAATCCTAATCCACTGCAAAAATAACATGAATGGACCATTTTCAAATACCTTGGCAAATACGATAAAAATTCAGTTTACCTGGTTTAAATATTGGTCATATATTAATTGAACATTTTTCGCTGTTTTGTGATAAAATTCATTTGCGTCATCAAAATTTTTCCTACATACAAGTAAGCAAATATTAAAACATTTATAATCCATAAAAAGTCATGTTAAACTGATAAAATTATACATATAAATTATAATCATTTTTTTTAAATCTAAACATTTTTATGGCGTGCATGCGTTGCGAAATGAACAATTAGAAAATGTTTGTATTGTGATCACATGGTATTTTACTTTTGAAAAAGCGTCAGTCCAGATTTGCCAAACTTTACGATTTATAACGATAATAATAACATCAAGAAAAATCGATTTTAAGACGCAGTGGCCTCGAAACATTCAAAGCAGATGAATGGATGGATCTGTGTGATATGAAGCTGTCTTGCCTTATGCTAGCGGCCGATATGTATCAGTTACCACGGATATATTCATTCAATGGGCTCGTTCTGTCTTGAATAGGTGTGATTTTGTTGTCCATTGAATTTTTTTATTTGATTACCGAAATCAAATGTTGACAACCGGGTTTCTGCACAAAAACAGCTTACTTTACGCTATGGCTCAATCATGTATACATTGTTGTATTCGCATTATAATAATGTGTCTATTTCTTGCGAAGCAAATGAAAAAAATATTTTAATCCTATTTCATTATGGCTCTCTCTTAAAATTTAAGCGATTTTCGATGACATTTTGAGAGTATATGGTTTTTTTAACTAAAAAAAGATTTGAAGACATTCTGATGCTGAAAATACAGAAGTAATATGTTGGGAAAAATTATTGTAGTTTGTTTTTAAAATCCACAAATGTTCAGTCTCCAGTGGAAAAAAACACCTTATTTTGACTATCATTCGAACCGCCCAGACAGCAAGAAGACAAATCAGGTCAAAGAAGACAAATATATTTACAAGTTTTTTTTTAATAAAAAAAAATTCAATCTTCTGTCTTTCAAAACAAAAAACAAATAAAATAAAAAAAAATGATATAATTATCAGTTCAAATAAATAAAAAAGCTTCCAATCTCACTAAAAGAGAATAGGAGATGAGGTAATCAAATTTGATTTAGTTCAGAGTATAAAATCGATTCGAGGTACAAAACACATACTCGGCAAGTACTTCAGTTAAGATGCTGGGAGTCACTTTTGAAGAACCACTTTTGAACTTGCTGTCATTCGAACACTTTTCCAAGTTCCATCATCAATTAAGTAGGCGCAAGTATGTGCGTCCAAAAACAAAGGTGGAGAATGACTCCAAATATCCCAGGAAATTTACTTGATCCTTCTTATTACTAATTTCTCCAACATACCTATGATTCGATTTTTCATCAAAATCATTGCGCTCATAGCTCACATTATTAGCAATGCTTTTGAAAACATTTGACACACCTCGACACACCCTAGTATACAGCTCATACTAGTGCCATTAATAGACGTACTTATCGATTCCATGCCCTGATTTATTTGTTTGTAATTTTATTGAGATATCATCCGTTACATAAAAAAAATATAACTGAGCAAACTATTTTTGTCCTTTAATTTTTATTGAATGATGAAAAACCGGAGGAACGTTTTATTTAATAAAATTTATTTTAAGATAAATTTTATGAATCATATCTCGAATAAGCAACAACGAAAAAATGGTCTGGCGACGACTGAATTGTTTTTGTTTTGATTTTCTTCCAAATTTGATAATACAACTGGTTGATAGAAACTGGTTGTCTAACTAGTATACTAGGTTATAACCATTGATGTACGTATCAAATTAATTGGAATGACAAATATTCTTTATCAGTGGGGCAAGTATTTATTTATTTATAAATATTTTTTTTCATTGACCCACCCAGACTGCTACATTTTCAACACAAAAATTCTTTCCTATAAAAGACGGTGATTTATTTTTTCCAAACTCAGTTTGAACATTGCAGGCTAAGAGAGTTCTTAAAGCAAAATGGCAAAGTTAAGTTACGTGTTGTTTGTAACAATGTTGTGTGGATTCAGTGTGAACGCTGGTATCCCCGGAGGACCACGGCCCATAACAGATGAAATTGAATTAGCCAAATTGACTGACAACATTACAACGCATCTGGACAGATTCGGTGTTCAAGGAACTAATTTTGAACTTGTTAAATTGCATTCAGCTACAGTTCAAGTAGTTGCGGGCGTTTTGTACGAGACGCTTATCGAAGTTATGGAAAAACAAAATAGAGTGAACTGTACAATGACAATGTGGGAAAAGGCCTGGGAAAATGTAATCAAAGTGAATGTTGAGTGTGGTGACGAAAAACGCAAATATGAATGGTCCACAGATGTTCAACCGATTCAACCTATTGCTTTTGGCGGATTTACCAAACTTACTGAGAATGGCATTAAATATGTGGAAAAACAACTTACACACTCTTTCGGCGAAATGGCCAAAATACACAGTAAATTCATTTACAATTTGAAGAGTGTTGTGAGCGGTTCACAGCAACCAGTGGCCGGCACGCACTATATGGTGACTATTGAAGTTGGATATGGTGACAATGAAACCAAAACCTGTCAAGCTGATATGATTGAAACGTTAGCTAAAATATTGCGAGTCAAGATTGAATGCGGCGAAGAGATATATGAAATTGAAACACCTTCCCCACAGTAAAACATTCTGTTTTACAAAATGTTGTTATCGTTAGTTGAACGACGATTTTAATTTCAAATAAACTTTTATTCAAAGTATCAATTTTTTGTGTTTTTTTTTTCCTTAGATGCGTTGCGATAGAAGAAAACGTGTTTATTACTTTCATTGGAATTTATTTACACATTTTTTTGCACATGTTATCATTACAACATTTCTTGCGTTAGTAGTCGCTAAACCAACTAGGTCGCTTATAGATACAGATTCGAAATATTTTACGAAGTTTCTTTAATTCAATATGAATTGAACTTCATCATTCAATTTGGTGGACGGGTATTTGTATCAAAAAGGCCAATTGGAAACAACTTAATTAGATTCGATTGAATTTTATTCAGTTTGGAGTTAAATCGAAGATGATTTGAATGCCCAAAAGATGTTTAATCCATAACAAATATAAATTTTTCGTAAGCTATTTCGGATCACACGTCGGTCGGACATTCGGATCGATCTCAGTCTGTAAATATGGCATCTTTGTGATCTCTGGTTACAAATAAATAACAATTTCAAATTCAATTGTTGATAAAAAATCAAAGGAAAATAAGCAATTTTTGAAGGAAAAATATTAATTTGTTTATTTAAGAGGATCCTGTACAAATTGAAAATGATGGTTCACAATTACAATATTCATTTAAAATGTTGTTGGTAATAAATTGATATTTTTATCAAGTGAAAAGTTGGAATTTTTATTTTTTCCCTTGTTTTGTCGTTTTGGCGGATTTTGATGATTGTGACTTATTAAATGAATTGGACGTTTCCAATTTTTTTGATGGCTTAGCAGAATCTAATGGTGACGTGACAAATGTAACCCATTCAACACGTTGTTTATTATACGATTGAATGTTATCTTTGGCTTTTTCAAGTTTTTGATTCAATTCAGACAAATGAGATTCAACTGAATTTATCGTTTCGACGATGTTTTGCGCAGCCTTTCCAGAGCCACTCAACGTCGATAGTGAATCGAGCGATTTTTCAGCCGCTTGAATAGAAAGTTGTAACATGAAACTCACTTCCTCAATTTCACTCATTTCTTGGTCAAAGCTGTTGGCCCACTTTTCTACTGCCCCAATCATTGAGACTATTTCAGTATTGATCAGATCGACTTGTTTCTTATCGTACGAGGGCGACTATTTAAGTTTCTTCAATATGTATGTTTTAGTATTGCCCGATGCAAACCATTGTCATATTCGTAAAGTTGGACATTTTTCATGACCATTTGACTTAACAGGACGAATTTTAGTTTTGTGGTATGGCCACGGTGTCAGTTGGAAAAGGTCAACTTCGCAAAAAAATGAAATTTACAAAAAAGATTATTTCTCATAAGTTTTCAAAAAGAGCTGCCTGCTCAACAGTATTACTTCCGACTCAAGTCGGGGTATGGGAAGGAAGTACCATGCCTTGCCACTGTATACAACTGGTTCACTGAATCCCATCGTCATGGTGCTCGCTACAGTGATCAATTGCGCGATGGTCCTTCGAAAATTGATGTCATCGAGAAAAACTCTGGTGCCGATTGAGTTAGGATCGAAGTTTCTTTTACAGTTAAATTGTGGTATGCCCAAGGATCACAGAGACTCCAATCATTTGGTTCTTCCATGAATTACAACATGAAAAAAAAAAATCTTTACGTGTCAACCCACAGTTGCTCAAAAATCGATTGATTTTAATCACATCCAAAAAATCATAACCAATTTGACATAGGATAATAAAAACACGTCTATACGATCGCAATAGAAGCCAAGACATGATTCCAGTAGTTTGGACCTGAAACAAAAACTTGGTTGACTCTCTGAGTCTTCAAACATGAACACAATCGAACAAAAGTTGTTCGTTTGTGAAGTGATAGGGAAAATCGGACCTCATTATTTTACAGTGTTATGTGTCATGTTGCTACCATGCCTTTAGAGGATGAAAGGTCCTTCAATGCTGAATAGTACACAACCATTTGATTGTCAAAAGTCATCACGGGAATATGGAGACCAAAACTCTGAAACTTATAATCCCAAAACATGGCAAAAAGAAGCCCATCAAACAGTCGACTATTTGACCACCCAAAAGATCGAATTGATGCACAATACTCCGTGTACGAATTATTCGGGACCCCTCTGTCCACCAGAGACCAAAATCAGTTGGATACAATATATTTTTCGTACTTGAAATTAGGTGCATATTCAAAAAAGTGCACTTTTTGGAGTGTCATGTTTAAGCTGCTGTCGTAGCCATACCACAAAACTAAAATTCGTCCTGTTAAGTCAAATGGTCATGAAAAATGTCCAACTTCACGAATATGACAATGGTTTGCATCGGGCAATACTAAAACATACATATTGAAGAAACTTAAATAGTCGCCTACGTATGATTTTGTAAGCAATTGATTGTACTTCGCAACTGGTACTGTGCATACAAGTGCGGAGAGAATGCCTTCTCTTGTTTGTTTACTTTTTTGTTGATCGGCATTTATTGATTCGGTCTTAGTATTCAAAAATTCACGCAAAGTTTTCTTTTTGATTTTGATACTATCGGGAATGTTATTGATGGCACTTTTTCTGTTTGCATTCAAAAGAATATTCTCGTTAGTATTGCATGTCGCTTTAACTTGCCGAATGTTATTGGAAACGTGTAGCATGAAGTTTAAATTCGATGTTAATCTAGGCAATCTGCGATAGAGTTGTGCCAAAAAATCTTCAAGTTTCACGTCTCCTTCGCAATTGATCTATCAAATTAAATACGAAAGAAATAATTTAATAGAAGAACTTGAAATTAATTGGAACTTGGAAAATAAATAAAAGAAATAAATTCATAGGTACCTCAACTGATAGCGAAAGCGACAATAGTGCCAGAAACAAAAACGATCTCATTTTTTTCACTTGAAAATACCACGTTGCCTTCAAGTAGACTGGATAATTAGTAAAATTAATAGGTGGCAGCTATTTATATACAAAATGTTACACGTGTATCGACCAAATCGACGTTGTTTGATTAAGTTTGTTTAAAACTATGCGTAAAAAAATTCTGAAACGTTTAACAACTCAGTTCTAGTGGAAAATAGACGAAACAATTGTTTTCACACATTTTTACTTGCGATTAGTAGGTTCCAGTGAAATTGAGGAGAGTTTTTTTTGCTTATTTCATCTGCTCAATATTAGAATGCCTATAATATTTGTTGTTTTACTTGGACCGTTTTTTTAAATTAAATTTTCATGAATTGAATAGCTATATGGAACGTACACAAGTGCTGGTGTGTTTTACATCCTTCTATCTATCTATCTATATCTCTCTTTCTTGGCAAACCGCCAACTAATTGGCTGTGTACTCATAATTTTGCTAGATAATTTTTTTTCATAATTTATTGTTTCAATTAAGTGTAGAGAAAGTGTAGGTAAGTGTACAACATTTTGGGATAGGTAGTCAATTTCCGGTCGATGTCAATTTTCGAAAAATCGTATATACTACTAAAATGTACTAATTATGTACAATTATGTACAACAATTTTTATGATTATGTACCAACAAAAAATTTTCAGAATTTGGATTTTTAAAAATTGAAAATATCAAAACCCGGAAAATGTTTACCCGAATTTGTACAACACCAAAGATCACCATCGATTTACGGATTTTTTTTTTTAAATTTCGTACACCTCCAGTGTATACGTCGTTAAAATGTACAAAATATGTACAGTTCAAATCAACCATCAGATTTGCGAAATTATCATCGTGTACCCAAATTTCACCCAGTCCAATTTTTATAGCAGTTTTTGAATTCGCCGCGAATGGGCAACTTTTTAATCATCCATATTATCATAACAAAGTATATTGTATAAAAATGTACAAAATATGTACAATTCAAATCTGTATTTAGATTTGCAAAATTTCAATCGAGTACTCAAATTTTACCCAGTCCAATTTTTATAGCAGTTTTTGAATTCGCCGATAATGGCCAACTTTTTAATTATCCATATTATTATAACAAAGTATATTGTAGAAAAATGTACAAAATATGTACAATTCAAATCTGATTTTGTACAATCGATATTGATTATGTACAAGTCAAATCTGATTTTGTACAATCAAAACAACAAACAACATTTTGTTTCGAAGTGTACCTAGATTTTTTTTTTCAAAAAATCGACCCCTTTTTTGGGAGTTCTCATAATTTAGCCCGGGGTAGCGATTTTCTAAATCCAAAATTTTATGTAATGTATTATGGTCTTAAAAAAGTGTACATTAAGTGTAGGTAACAATTTTGCATTCGTATACGATATTACGTAAGAAATTAAGTGATTTGGCCATACCAGCCTTATCTGAAGGGCGAATGGTGCCTATACTGAAAATTAATCAAATTAAGCGTAGGATGATTTTGTGACTAATTCGCTCAATTTGAATTACGGAAATGTTTTGGAGTGGAGTTCGAGCCATGGACTTAATATCATACCCATTTCTTTTTTATCTTTCATTTTCCAAATAGATTCTTATTCTGACGAAGAAGTCACCTGAAAATGTGTATTTTTTGATAGAAATTTTTTTTACATTTTTCGGGAAACCAATTCAATTTTTTTGGTGACCATTTCTAAAAAAAATCATTTACGCGATATTTTGTCTTTTTAAACTAATGAAAATAATGTACTGGTTTTTTCTTCTGCCAAATAGAAATTTTTTGATTCAAAACATCGAGCTTAAATACCATTTTCAACGATCGTCATATAAGTGCATATTCTTGAACAAACTACACAGCCTTCATTTTTCTTTCATTCTCATACAAATAGTAGCTCCCATGATTTCTTTCAGTTAACTGAAAATACTTTTGTGATTAAATTATTGTTGTAATTTCATGTCTTAATTGAATGCTTTGAAATAGTATATTGCCGCACTGTATAAACTGTAAAATGTTCACACACTTCTGTGCCATATATTTCGCTTACGTCCATATTCACGCTTGTATTGTACAAAACCATTATCTCTCTAGTTTTTGTGATTGATGCGTAATTATTAGCATTGACCGTCTTCCATAGAGATGCGTTCAGCGGACGCGTAAAACTATTATTGTGAGAGATATCAATCAAGATTGTCAATTGTTTCACAGAGCACTAAGGAGCAGAACAAAAATCATTATAAGATTATAAATTTGAATAATTTTTTTCCTCTTTAGTTTAGAGCGGTCTTCCTCACATTTATTTCACTGAGAAACAGTCTCTGATTGTTTTCGTTGTTGGCTCTTATAAAAGATTGCATTAATTTTGCATGCGATGACCGTTTCCACCGTAATAAAAAAATATTGTTGTCACAATGATTAGTTAATTGATAAGAGTTGAAATAGGAAATTCCATAAATCAAAATAAATAATTCACATAGTTTACAATCTCTGCGTTAATCATTTTTATGTATGTTTTAATACGTCAATTTTATTTGTATAACGCGCATTATATGAAATAGAGGAACAAAAATGATCGCTGATGTGTATGAGTAAAAACTTGACCTTAATGTCTTTGAATCGATAGATTGACGACCTGATAGATTATTAGACTGAAAATGTTTTTGAAATTCAAGTTCAAATGATTAGTCTTCATCGAGATTTCCTTCAAAATGGAGTTGCTGAGGATATTTGTGTTTTTGAGTGTTTTAACTACGGCATTTTGTTCACATAAATTAATTCGAAATAATGAAAGTTCGACAAATTCCCTAACATCATTCATCGACCAATATGCGAATCAAAACGAAACTGAAGATGATTCTTCAGAGGCTGACAACGACAATTCAACGGATGTATCATCAATGTTAGCGAATCGAATTTTTGGCGGCTTTGAAACATCAATTGAAATGATTCCATGGCAAGTGTCTTTGCAATATAGTTCAAGTCATATGTGTGGCGGCGCAATTATTGCACCGGAATGGATACTTACTGCAGCACATTGTACACCGCGTAAAAAAGCGAAAGGCTATAGAATTCGTGCTGGCTCAACCAACCGAGACGAAGGCGGTGTAATTGTCCGAGTTCAACGATTCTATCGTAATAATAATTACCGAACAAGTACATTGGACTACGATTTTTCTCTCGCCAAACTTGCTCAACCACTAAACTTTACCGATGTGATAAAATCGATCCAATTGCCGAATGCCAATGCACGAATTCCACAGGGCACGAATTGTATAGTGTCGGGCTGGGGTAAATTAAAATTGTTTTCAATACTATTACATTTAAAATATGTTTAAATACATAAATTTTCGATTATCCTTAAGGAGCCACCCAAAATCCATTTGAATCGGAAGAAATGCTTCGCACAGTGGACATTCCAATTGCAAATCAGGGTTATTGCAAGAGAAAATATGATATAACAAACCGAATGATTTGCGCTGGAGTGATGGAAGGAGGGAAAGATGCTTGTTTTGGCGATTCAGGTGGACCCTTGACATGCGATGTAAATGGATCCAAGTTATTAGTTGGTGTTGTGTCGTATGGTATGGGCGAACAGTGCGGCAAAGCCAATACCATTGGGATTTATTCGAAAATCTCATCAGTACGTGAGTGGATAGAGGAATTTAGCGGAGTTTAATACTCGATATACATAACTTTTCATCTGAAATTCAACGTCAACCAATATTTTCTACTCGAGACTTCGATATAAGAGAAAACAAATAAATTCAATTTTGAAAAAATAATAATAAATTTTATTGACGAACTTCTGAAGACATATATGAATACAATTTATATGCAGAGTTTATGAAAGTGGAGCACAGATTTTTATCAACAGTAATTCTATTTAAAAAAAATATGTGTTTTATAGACTCTGCGTATAAGTCGGATTTTTATTATGACTCATTCATATATTCGAAAAGATTTTAATTTTATTCATTTTCTAATTTAAATTGTGAAATAGTAACTTCCATAAGGCAACATTTGAAAAATTATTGCGCAAATCGAGAGATAAGCGCAGTCAATATGATTGTATTGTGACGTCACATATCTTACAGAAAAACGCCATCTGTGTAAAAAAGGCTTACTACAATGTAAAAGTATTGCGAGGGGAAGGAGAAACAGATACAGAAGAAGGAGGAGAAGATATAGAAGAAAAAGGAGAAACAGATATACGTTTGATTCACATTGTAGTCAGCGCGTTTTACGTAGATGGTGTTATAAGTATCTGTCCAAATAGCGCTTGCCCTTTGGCGCAAATAGTGTCTAGGCTTCCGATTGATATCAAAGGTGAAACTGTTTTCTATTTATAATTTTCATAGTTTATATAAGGATGCGCATAAGTTCGGTAGGATTCATAGCTGGGCAAAAGCTGAAAATTTCAGGAGTAAATAATCGGGAATAATTCCCTCAAAAACTCCTAGCAAAATAGAAAAATTCTATCCAAAATCTTGTAATTTCTTCCCTCCACCCCTGTTTGCCCAGCTATGGTAATTAATAATTTTAGGTCAATTTTTTTGTGTGAAACTATTTTCCGTAAAAAAAAACTTATGATTATCGTTTATTTGACATCAAAGTAATATCGATACTGCGGTTAATTCGAATCTTGCATTCACGAAACGGAACAATACCTGTCTGTCAAGCTTTATTATCATGACTTCTGCCTGACTTGTATTTAATTTCAACGCCCCTTTTTTAAATTGTTGTTGTTCTCCTAATTCATCCTAATCTAGTTCCACAACAAAAGTCTCATTGTTTTTTTTTTTTTTTTTTTTTCAATTCGGATTACTTTTCAAGATGCGTTTCTGTGCGTAGTTAGTTTATTACTGTGTATTATTCCAAAGCAAATTTATTTAATTATTCATTCAATTTTTTTTATGTAGATTATAGACTGAGTGTGTCACATATAACAGAAAACACGCTCATTCATAAGGTTGCTTTTTCAGCACGTTTGACTTAGCCAAACAATTCGCTCGCGCAAAATAGTTTAGGAAGTTTCGTGAAATAACGAAAGATAGAGCTGAATAAGTGCTCAGAGAAATTGAACAGAGCAAACTGAAATGCCATTTTATCATAGTGTGAAATGAAACTGGTCGAATTCACAGGCACCGCAAAATCTTTTTTGATGCACATCTTTACAGTATGATGGCTTCAGTGAAACTATAATTTGAAAATAATATGTGCGATATATGAATGGGTTCAAGCACTTTCATTTTACACTGAAACCGTTTTCGATCAGGCCAAAAGGGCATTTTACATTGCTTACCATTGCACTATATTATATTTTATTCTGATATTTATTGTTTAGATGTATTTTGTTGTATAAAGTTATGAAAGCGAATTGGTCGCAAATTCTTTATTAAAATGCATTGCTTATTTGAAAGAAAAAACTAGCGAGAAGATAATCACATTTTATCATTGCCAACATATGAAAGTTTGCAATGTTTTTTAAAAAGCAGACATACATTTATTTTTAAATTTGATTATTTTGGTATTTATAATAAATTCAGTCGTTGAAATTAAGATGCAAGCTGAAAGCTAATCGGTACGAAATGCAAAGAAATATATATTTGCCTTTAATTATATATCGAAAATTTATTCTAAAGAATTGTTTCACAAAAAAGTACAAATAAATGATTTGTAAGAGATTTCATTTATAATGTTCTAATTTAGAAGAGAGTGTATGTTAAGATTACTTCTCAGTTTAAATTATTGTGTTAGATTTTCGGCATTTTGTCGATGTGTAAATTTTAAGGTAGATCTGTTGTAATTCATCTTGATCATGGTTTGATGTTAGCTATTATCCAATCAATGTAACGGTCCACTCTCTGTTTGGACAAAAATGATATGTCAATTGCGGAAATTGTTAAAAAATGAATCAAAATCTCAAACGTACTGTATATATTCCCGGCAATGAAAGGATGTGAAGACTTCAAGTCTCTTTGAGCCAACGGTGGCGCCCCGAATTTCAAAGGGGACGTCAATGTAATTTAACAACTCAAATCGAAAGTAAACAGCGCACCAATTTTAAAACTTGGTGTCATTTTCTCCCATTGATTCCCGGCCATCCATCTCTTCCGCAGGGTAGAGTGCCAAATGAAGAAATGCCCGCCAAAAAGTAGTGGAAGTGTGTTTCATCAGTTTTATGCAATGTCATTATGGGCCACCTCCATCACCTATTTGCAATTTAAACAATAATAAATGCGTGCATCACTCGTTACGTCATTGCAAAATGAAATCTACGTGCTAGTATATACCTCGACACGGCCTCTCCTTCCTCGCCGCCAGCACATAGATGTGTTGTTGATAAAAAAATATTCTCTTGTTCATATGACCAACCTTCATCGTGACATTGCTTCTAGTCTCTATGGAAATATAAAAGTTTTGATGTGTTTGGACCATGATAGAATCACCAAAGATTGTTTGAAACTTACCCGCCTGAAAACGATAAAAAATGAATATTTTTGTATTAGATGGGGAAAAAAGTAGCAATTCATTGAATTCAACCATACCTCTGCAATGCTCCACCCAGCCACAACCAATTCAACCCCATCATAGTTTTTGCTCGATGTTGGCACACAGATCGGTTTAATCCAATCTGTATAATTGAGTGGATGTGCCAAACGTAGTAGAGCAATATCATTTTCATGTGATTTCGAATATGGATTATAGTCAGCATGTTGAATCCATTCTACCACACTAATATCTTGAACTGGATCGGCGCATTGGTCATCTTCACAATCTGGGTCAGATTTTGTATTCCATTCGCCAAGTCGGACGCCTTGGAGAAGAAAAACAATTAAAATCATCTGGAAGTGTTCAAAATTTCAATAGTATTATTCATCAAACCTGTTAGTCTCCATTGCAAACGCTGAATGCCTATTCCATTCACACAAGAGGATGCTTAGAATTTGAAAGATAGAATTAGTGTCATCGAATTGTGATTACATTATTTACTATATACCTGTTAAAACGTAGTTCTCATTCAGAAGCACACCACCGCAACTAAAGCTTTTGTTTTGCTGAAATAATTTTTTTTATAAAAAATGCCGAGGATTTGTCTACTATCAAAACCTATCTTGATTGTCAATCATATAATATAATAATGTTTATTCATTCAAATTGCTATGGTAAAAAAGTGGATGAACACGATGACCAGTTTTAACAGAGCAATTTTTCTTCGACGGTTTTTAAATTATTTGAATTAGAGAATCATTTTAATTACGTGTTGTGTATTCGATCAATGCCATCCAGGGATATTCATTTATCGCAGTCTCATTTCCACCAAGTACGTATATACGATACTGGAGACTTGAAGAAGATCCACAAACAGGAGGTTGAGGTAAATCAACCGGTTTTTTTGGTAGTTGAACGTTTGATGGAACGCTTTGCGTTTCTATTGGAGGCGATAGTCGTGTTGATAGTGGTACCAAAGTATTAAAGTTAGGAATTGGATTTATCGGACAGCAAACCTGAAAAAAATGTGATTTTCAAAAATCACCCGGAATAGAAAACAATTTTATCAAAATTACCGATGTATATCCAAAGTAGTAACCATATGGTAATTACCACAAAATCGGTTAAATTCGGGAGAGAGTTGATTTGCCAACCAATAACTGTAAAGGGGATGACATTGAGTTACATCGACACAATAACTGTATCTGTTGTCGGGCGTTGTACACGAGGTTTCTGAATTTGGAAAAATAATAACAAATTAATTTTTAGATCATTTTTGACGAGCACCATTAAACTAATGAAAGTGCGTAAAATTATGTATTTTTTAAAATATTGAAAACATATATTGTTATAAAATTTGACATTTAAACAGTCAGTTATCTTGATTTCATGTTTTAATCGTATTTTTCAATTAGTTTAAACCTATAGAGTGCTCAAAACCATACGAAATTTCTCCAATCTCGAATTGAGTGTATTTTTCATTTTTTGGTAGGTGGCTTCATTTT